ATATATATTATTTAATATATAAATACAATATATGTATTAAAAAAAGAACACAGTAAACTAGGCAAAAAATAGCCAAAATAGTTAAGAGAGTCTGATTAGTCCTGTAGTCATTATAGCTAAATGCACGTCTCTTATTGAAATTCAGAAAACAAAATCTAGCCTTCTGGAGTGTCTTGACAGTACTTCCAGTACGTCAGTGTCAGTCGTTTCTACACTTGAGTGAATATTATGATGTCTGAGTTAAGGTTTTTAGCTAAAGCTAAAAATAGTCTGCAGGGCTGCAAAATAGCAGAGAGACATTTAAAGGAAGGGTTAACAGACAGCAAAATTACAGAAGAAAGGATAGTTTGAATAGTGGAACAAGAACATTAAAAAGGATGGAGGGTTCTTAATACCTGTGGAGTCGAGAGAGATTAGCAGGAATCAGGGAGATGACGATGAGCCATGAAGTCAATTGGCAGTTGGTTTTAAAGTTTAGGTGGAGCAGGAATCAGAGGGCTGCAAATGAACTCTTGCATCCCCGCCCCTGCCTCCTGATCTGCCTGTGACTTGGCTACCTGCTTATGCCATCCACTTAGCCGCCTAGTGAAACATGAATGGGAAGTGTCATGTTTTACATTTACCTTTAAATATAACACTTTTGTGGGGGGGTTGGCCGGGGAGGGGACTGGAGTAAGTGGTAAGTTGAAAATGCATATCAGTCATGAGTGGATAGGGCTGGACTTCTGGTTTCAATATAGTGAATTCAACACACTGGTGTCTGTCCTCATCATCCTAACTTTAAAGGCTTGCAAAACTCCAACCTGGCCTGCTTGTGGGTGGGAGTACCCCCATCCCCCCAAATCCCTGTTGCTCACCTGAGGTTTCCATCTCATTGCTCCTCCCATGCCTGGGACCTGCAGGGCCCTCAGGGGAATACAGCACACTTCAGCTGTGCAAAGCAGCCACTCTCCTCAGTTCATTTTTGGAATTTGCTTCCTTCCACTTGGACCCTTACAGCAATGCCTTTCCAACACAGATGAACCAACTTCTTTCATTATCTACTGTGGGACTGGAATTGCATGGCCTATTAATTTTGAGCCACTTGCAAGCATGCTGACTCTGGGCCAGATTCTTGGAACATCATTGCCATGTGCCGGCACTGAAAGCAGGGGATATTGAATACTTCCAAAAAAATCAAGAGGCTGTGCTGAGCCATTAAAAAAAAAAAAAAAAAAAAAAAGGGGAGAGAA